GAAGATAGTCAACTTGTCGCCATTCATCTCTGTCTATCTTTACATCAGCGAGGTTGAATTGGACACAGAAGTCATCAAAGGCAGACTGCAATCGCCGGGCACGCCTGAGCATGAGGAACGTCGAATTCCATCGTGTCCGAACATCTTGTATAGGCATAAGCTTAGGCTCTTTCGTCTGAAGCCTTATGAAGCTCTCGCGGCGCTGGGGACTTTTGTTGATGTAGACTGCTACCTTCCGAACCTAGAATATAGTGCGAGTTAGTAAAGAAAGAGAGATAATAGTAAGAGATTAGAGAGAGCTAGACCTTGTTCAGAGTATCCACGATCTTTCTATTCTCTTGCCGAGCTATATGCCCTTTCTCGGTCCATTCAATCTCTTCCCTCTCGTTTCCTGGGTTCGCGTCCATCTGACCAAGGAGCTCCTTCAAACTGAGCTGTATAACATGTGCAATACATGGTATACGAATAACCGGTATACTACTAGGTAGCTGTAGGGATTCGACGACCTCTTGAAGGCTACCGAGTAATGTTCCGTTATTAGATGCGTTATCAGTAGTAATAGTTAACACCCTCTCAGTAATCCGATGCTTCTCAAGAAGGTCAAGCAGGACAGTGCTTAGATAGGCCCCCGTATGTGAGCCCTGTAGAGGTTCAAAGCCAAGCAAGAGCTCTCGGTAATTCCACTCTTGGTCAATGAAATAGCCCGTTATTGCCATAAAAGCTTGGCGAAATGGTGAGGTCCAGCAATCTAATGCAATAGAGAGCTTAGCACTATTAGGAAGCTTCTGTAGAAGAGTATACTGGCGTTCTTCCACGATCTCTTGAAGATGACGGCGGACTGTGGTTGCAGTTGGGATTTCGGGGAAGCAGGGAGCAAGCCGGGCCATCTCAAGAAGGGCGCGAAATTCAGGATGCTCAATAAGCTGGAAGGGTAGCCGCGAGGCAGCAATAAAGGTAATTAACCTTTCCATCCAAGCTTGCGGCGTAAATGATGCTTTACGAGACGATAGATATGCCTAGAAGGGGTATTTTATAAGATTAGTAATAATTAGAAAAAGGTAGACTGATTATCCATACCCCGTTCTTGATAGCCTTCCTAATATCTTGCGACTGAGTCGGTCCTCTCCGACAGGCACCTACTTGCGAATAATGCCTATTCATAGTAGATGTTCCCCGGCGCTTATCGGCAGGATGGGCAAGGATATGGTCGCAATTCTTGCATATTACCTTAGGAGACCCATCCTGGATAGTAGCGACCTGGTAGAAGTGGTCCCAACATTCTGCATTGCGTCTACCCTCAAAGATATTCCGTTTCATCTTACTTCCATACTCCGTCTTTAACCACCAGACGATGAAATCCTCATTCGCCATTTCTGTCCAGAGGATATAGTTTTTCCTTTTAGGAGGACCAACGCGTTCGAGTGTTTCTGGGATAACAGGAGGAATCGCCGGTCGGAGTAAGTTCACGTTAGGAGTAGAAGTTGGCGTTTCGCGCCCGTCGAGGTTAAACAGCCCATCAGATGTGAAGAAGGAGAAAGTATCTCGTGGATTATCCTCAAAAGCCGATGAGGGATACTGATCAGAGAACTGAGAGGAGGCCTGACTCTGTAACATTTTGACGAAATGAGTATAGGATAGGACGGGGGAGGTAAAGGACTTAAGGAGATACCTGCTAAAATATTTCCGTCTACTAGAAAAAGCTAAATAAAGGATTTTCTCTAGGAGAAAGCTATAGGCATGATTTAGATAGATCAAATTGAATTGTAATAGTGATTAGGCAGTAGGCTCCACTTTACTACAATCCGATAGGATAAGGGCTACGAAGACCGCAGAAGACCGTATAGAACCGCAGGAAAAACCGCGATAGACCGCATAGAGGGCTGCAAAGACCGCAGAAGACCGCATAGACAGCTAGTAGGAAATACTATGATTGACCGCAGAGGACCGCAGAGAACCATGAGGAGGACCGCACAGGACCGAAAAGGACCGCTAGAAGGCCCATATAATAGTATAATCCTCCTTTTCTTTCTAAGTCTACACTTCATATCAGAGAAACCAATTTTGAAAAGAGATTATTATGATATATTAGTAGTAGAATATAGAATTTCAAGATAAATAGTTAACTAGAGAATCTAAGCTCTCTGATAATACCCTTAATACCTATTTTAGCTGTATGTAGGGGGTTATGTACACTCAACGAAGAAGTCTCAGATGAAGATAGGGTCAGGTACTGATATCGAAATATATATTTCTTACCTCATACACCTAGCCAGCAATAATTATTACTAAACCTCTCTATTAGAACTTAGAAATATACTAGTACTGGCAGGTCTAGGTATTTTAAATAGTAGATTTTCTATATACGAGTATATTTCATCTGTTTTCATAGTGGCTGATGCTGAAATACAGTAAATGTTTATGAAGGGACCAAAACAGTGTTTAATAACAGTAATTAAATGGGATGAATCATCAATTTATGTAGCCGAAAAGAGAAGGTCTTGGTAGAATTATGCAATTGCGGTTCACCGTGGTGAAGACCGCAAGGGACCGCGGTTCACTATGGTGCGGTCTCAACCCCCGAATTCGAGACCGCAAGACCGTGCGGTCCGGTCCGCGGTCCTCGACCTAAGGACCAAGACCGCACCATGCAGAGGCCTACTACCTAGGCAGCAGCATACTAAATTCATCAGATAACTAGATATGGAGATACCACCTCCTATCTAGTTATTCTGTTTCTCCTTTCTCTTATTCAGTTCTCACTTTACTCTCATTCCGCTCTCACATCGAGAACTAAGGGGGTGTGTCAACATATGGATGTTGTGGGGTCACATGACGAAGGACCCACTTATATAACCCCTCTCTACATATAGATCTTCTTCTATAAAGATCTGTCGTGGAAAAGTGGAGAGATTCATTACAGTGACCTCGGATTGGTCACTTCCATCCCAGATTTCCTATGTATTTATATATAATATGCGGGTAACCCTTGACCATCGGTATAGTCACTTGAATACCTGGTTACACCGCCATAGGACAGCTCAACCTGCCCCTTTTCCCATTCGTTCGAGTCCTTTTCCTTTCTTCAATCAATCAACCTTCTCTGTATGATTCCGATAGTTCTCATTCGTCCATATACATACTAGTCTATACCAATCCTACATATCTTAACAGTTATGAGCCCGATCGCACGATTGGGTTAAATCAGATATCAACAATTCCAATTACTCTAGTATCTATCGATTCGCTTCCTCAAGCTTGCCTCTTCGAACCCCCGAGGACCCCTACAAGATTAACCGTCGGCCGCACCGTTCAATCGCCCTAAGACCCTCGAGAAGACGGAAGGATCGTGTAGTTATATTAGGAAGACCAACATGGAAGACAAGAAACTGTCGTTAACCGGGACGGAGTAGGATCTCAAGCTCCGCCACAAGGATCAATGGAGAGTATAGAAGGGTTATATAAAAGCTACAGCTAAGGCTCAAGAAGTCTGGCAGTATATAGACCCCGACCTCTCAGATCAAGAGATATCAACAATCCCAAAGGGGCTTTAACCGCCGGATATCCAAACGGTAAGGCCAAGTATAGCTAATTAGCTAGACCTCTCGGCAGACGAGAGGGCACATCTAACCTACCTAGTATCGGCGTATAAGAAGAAGCAAAAGCAGTGGGATAAGGTCAAAGAAAGGCTAGCTAAAATCAACTAATTAATTATCCAGCGAGTTAACCGGGACGTTAATAAACTAATACTCGGTATCAGCAGTCCTCGAGAGTAATTAAAGCTTCTTAAGGGCCGATTTGCCACTAGAGAGGAAGACCGTTAGTTAAGATTGAGAGAGACCTGGAGATCTATAATTACCGAACCGAAGGGTAATATAGACCAGGCTAAATAGCTCTCAACCTGGTCAAAATTATACTATAAGGCTCGAGAAGCAGGCGTACCGGACGTCTATTATTAATCAGATCGATACAAGAAGGACCGGGCACCTATTTAGGACTTCTTACGCTCTGTTAGGGATAACGACCTATTCTTCTATGACCTTTAGAAGAACAAGCTTAGGTCTCATGAGCTCGAAATCACCTTTATGGGTATCCTTAACGAGTATAGGGCCCATCGGCCGGAAGAGAAGGTATAATCTAGCGGTGTCTCTTTCAACGCCACTCTTAACGGTAAAAAGGCCGATATACCACAAGCGCAAGTAGGGCAATTAGCCAAAAGAAAGCCTTGCGTAGTCTGCCAGAAGGCAGGTCACGGTCCAAAGACCTATTAGATCCTTATAAGGAAGTGGAGATACCTAGTTAAGCAAGAGACCCTAGATGCTATTCGAAACAGGGTCCAGAAGCTTCCGCAGTCTAAGAGGGATAATATCTTAGAGAAACTGAAGCAGAGAGCCTCGGAGTTTAGTAGTGCAGCCAATCTCGCTATTAGCGGCGATACAGATCTCCCTATAGAGACGATATCCTTCTATACCGCTACGGTCTCTCTAGCAGTAGTAAACGTAGCTATCACGTATCTATTAAGGAATAGTTAGATATTAGATTCTGGATCGAATGTGAACGTCACGAATAACCGCACGAGATTCGAGACCTACCAACCAGCACATCGACTCATTAGATTAAGTAAGGGTAGCGCACCCGCTATTAGATTTAGAAGGGCAAAGGTCCTTTTGACCGCGAAAACTGGCCAATCTGTCTGGGCAATTCTACCAGAGGTTTGGTATACGCCTAATTTCCAGACTAACCTAGTTTCCGTGTCAGATATCGCTAAGAGAGGGTTCTTCTTTAATAGTGCCTTACCAGGGGTTATGAAGGGTAGGAAGGAGATTGCAAGATACATAAGACTCCTCGATCTCTATATCTTAGAGGATGCGAGGGCGGCAGCCCCTTCTACCACCTAAGGGGTCTCCTTTACCGGTAAAGCCCTAAGTGAGACCGCAACGACTAAGGTCTAGCACCGGAGATTTGGCCATATCGCCGAGAGGCGTATAGAGAAGCTTACAGAGATGGTGGATAGCATTGAAATCCAGGAAGCTACCAAGGAAAACGCACTATCAAATCCTGAATTGTGTGCTACCTATCACGCCACTAAAGCAAAGAGGCAAGTCTCCCGTCGTCCTGCAGAAAGATCGAAGATATATAGCAAGTTTGGCCGTATTCACTTCGACCTTATTCAGTTAGACGAAGCCTCTAATAGGGATAAGTGGCTATCGCATCTCTACCTCGAGGGTATTCGTTTTCATATAACCCACACGCATAAGAACAAGAACGGTTGTGTGAAGGCTATCCGAGAAGCCCTTGCCCTCTGCAGAAACCAATTCGGTATAGATATTCGAGTCTTCAAAAGCGATAGAGAGAAGGCGCTAGATTAAGCCTTCGTTGATTACATCGCGCAAGAAGGGATTATATGGGAACGAAGCGTTGCGGGCACTCCTGAACAGAACGGGTTCATCGAGAGAGCGGGAGGTGTTATTATCCTTGTCGCAAGGGCGTTACTTGCGGATACTAATTTGCCGAAAACACTATAGCCCTGGGTAATCCGGGCAGTAGCGTATATCTTGAATCGGACACCCACGATACTACAGAACGGCAACCTTGTGGTACCCTAGTCAGAAGCAATATCAGCGAAGAATCCTGAGCCACCAGTACGCCTAAACCTTACGAATCTCCGTATATACGGTTACGGCGTATAGGTACGTATGCGAAAGATCCCTCATAAGGATAAGATAGAGCCTCGGGCTTAATTGGGATACCTGGTTGGTTATGTAGCTAGCAATATCTGGCAGATCTGGTTCCTAACTATCGGCGTAGTACGCGAAGAGAGAGATATAGTATTCGACGAGACTATTCGCCATAACGGCTAAGGATTACCGCCTGTTCAAATAGCTCAAATCCCCGAGATAGACCCTTGGGGGGTGGGCATGGGAGGTAAAGTCGAGACTGAAAGCTCCGAAGACGAGGAACCGTTACCCGTGGTAACCGACACAGGAACGACAGAAAGACCCCAGATTCAGGGACTAGGGGAGGCGCTAAGCGCACCCCTCTCCTCTCTGAAACTTAATATACCACAACTACCGACGCCGGCGTTATCGCCTGCACGCGGATTTCAGCCTATATCGAATGTTGAAGGGGTCCCCGGAGCGTTCCCGGGGGAGGCGGAGTCAGGGGGTATAGCCGTTCAGACCCTAGCTGAGGGGGTGGATTTGTCAAGGATGAGTCCTAAGGATCAACTACGCTCTGAACTAGAGTGTTAACTTGAAGACGATTTAGATACTGATTCACTACCACCGCCAGGTTACCGGGCGAGGGGCGACCTCGTACCTAGAGATATTAACGCAGATTTCTCTAAAAGTAATATCCTCACTAGCAAGCGTGCTCGCAAGAGAACCTCCCATCTCGCTACAATAGCAGCCGTGGTACATAGTGGATAGGAAGAAGATACTCATGAAGGCGTTTTATTAGCGTTTTACACTATAATAGGCTCCTCTAGGTCTCAAGAAGTGTCTTCTAGGGACGATCTACCACTAGAACCAAAGCACTGGTCAGAGATAATAAACCATCCGCACTGCGAGAGTTTTGTGAAAGCTGCGGAGTTAGAAATCGAGACCCTACGTAAGAAGGAAGCCTTTGTCGAAGTTAACAAACTAACGGACCAATCAGTGCAGATTTTACCGTTAAAATAGGTCTTTAACTATAAGTTCAACAGTGATGGACTTCTTTCTAAACATAAGGCCCGAATCTGCGTGAGAGGGGACCTCGAGAGGGTCTCTCTGGATGAGAAGTACTTAGTAACCCTGGCTATACGAACAGCTCGATTCGTATTCGCCCTCGCTGCCCACTTCAACCTCGATACTGCTTAATAGGATACAGTCAATATATTCTTAAACAGCTAACTTCCTAATAAAGTGTATGTGGAACTGCCTCCTAGGATATTCTCGTAAAACCGGAGAACAAGGTGTTGGAAGCTTTTCAAAGCACTGTACGGTCTTCGCAAATCACCGAGGCTCTAGCAACAGGAAGCCTCGAGGGTCCTCACTACACTGGGCTTCTAGGTAGTATATAAGGATATATACCTATTCGTGAGAGAGGGGATTATTATAATCTTCTATGTGGACGATTTGATTATGTTTAACCACGCTTCGCAGAGAAAAGAGGCAGCGGAAGTCTCTAAAAGGCTTAATAAGGCGTAGGAACTTCGATCAATGGGCGAAGCTTAGTGGTTTCTTGGTATCCGCATCCTCCGAGACCGTTAAATAGGTGCAATTTGGCTATATCAGGATGCCTACCTATTAGTAATTACGCATAAGTACTATCTAACTAGAGAAAGAAGACTCGAAGCTCCTCCGGTTAATATCGCTAATCTTAAGCCCTTTAATGGAATAGCCACCAACGAACACCGATTAGAGTACTCCTCTAAGGTAGGATCTGCGCAGTATACCACCACTATCACCAGACCGGACGTTACTAAGGCAACCTCCTATCTGGCTTAATTCCTATCTAATCCTTCGCCGGACCACCTACATACGATCTTATAGGTGATCGCCTTTATGTACCAGACTAGAGACCGCGCTATCTACTTTCGCAGAAGCACTAGTGATTTGCCTAGTATACAGTTCTGCAGCGATGCCTCGTTCGGGGATAATCACGATCGAAAGAGCTCTGGTGGATATCTTTGCAAAGTCTTCGGCGGACCGGTGGATTAGAAGGCAGCGAAGCAAAAGACCGTTACAACGAGTACCACCGAAGCTAAATTGCTGGCTATCTCCGAAGCTGGCAAATCCATGCGTATGTGGGAGCGGATTTTCTAGAGGGTTATGTTCAACCCGGGTCACCCTGTCTCAATTTAATGTGACAACAAGTAGACGATCACCTTATTGACTAAGGAAGCACCTCATCTACGCACTAAGCTTCGACATATCGACATCTATTAGTATTGGCTTCGGCAAGAAGTGTAAGCCGGTAGGATCCCAGTGGATTGGGTCCCTACTGCAGAGATGGATGTAGACGGTCTTACCAAACTTCTTCCTCGTCAAAAGCATGCTAGATTTGTGAGGTAACTAGGCATAGAGGACATTGGATATCTCTTAGAGAGATTGAACTGATGGTCCAGCGAAACTCCAAAGGGATTTCCGCTGAGGGGGTGTGTCGTGGAAAAGTGGAGAGATTCATTATAGTAACCTCGGATTGGTCACTTCCATCCCAGATTTCCTATGTATTTGTATGTAATATGCGGGTAACCCTTGACCATCGGTATGGTCACTTGAATACCTGGTTACACCGCCATGGGACAGCTCAACCTGCCCCTTTTCCCATTCGTTCGAGTCCTTTTCCTTTCTTCAATCAATCAACCTTCTCTGTATGATTCCGATAGTTCTCATTCGTCCATATGCATACTAGTCTATACCAATCCTACATATCTTGACAAGATCTAACAGATTGATCCTCAACGATCTCGCATATGATTGCCTACCTAAGCAAGAGACTCTCAACACTCTGATTCTGTTGATTTATCATGTGATCCTTTGCTATGTTTCTTGTGATATAAATACTGCTATGTTTCCTAGTTAAATTGAATCAAGTTTATCATCCCTTTTGATCTCTCTTCTAGATCGGTGATACTCTTCCACAATCGTGGTACTTCTGCTAGTACGCACGACCGATAGACTCATAACCGTGTATTCAGATACCACATTGAGTATTTACCAATCCTTATGCACACTATCGTCTTGTGTGTATAATCACGACTTTATGGTCACCGCCTAGAGTCCGACATAGTATATAGTAAGATAGTATATAATATACAGTAAACTCCCGTTTTCGGCACTCCCAGGTTAGGCACATATTTTTATTAGGCACCAAAATCTGTTGGATGGACCCACTTCTTAGAGTTTTCCTATATATAAGAGGCCAACCGGCATACCTTTTTGTCTGGCACACAAAATTCTCTTCAATTTTTGCTTAGTCATATAAACCGACCAATCAGAATGCAGGATTTTTCCCCTTCTAACCCTTCTACCCCTTCTTCGGTCGCTCTTTTAGCTTAACTAGCTATACCAAAACAACCTAACAAAGGCATATCCGATGCTCAGAAAAAAGCATTACGTATCTATGCATCGGAGACACGCCCTAAACCTACTTAGAGAGAATGCGCTAAGTAGTTTTTATCTTAATTTAATCGTCATATTAACCGTGCGACCGTCTCTAAGATTCTTTTATCTAAATACGAGTACCTTGATACTAGTTTAGCTGGTCAGAATAAACGCCCGTTAGCATCTCGGTGGCCTCTGTCGGACTCTAGGCGGTGACCATAAAGTCGTGATTATACACACAAGACGAGAGTGTGCATAAGGGTAAATACTCAACGTAGTGTCTGAATACACGGTTATGAGTCTATCGGTCGTGCGCACTTCTATGAAGGAGGAGAAGTACCACGATTATGGAAGAGTACCACCGATCTAGAAGAGAGATCACAAAGGATGATAAACTTGATTCAATTTAACTAGGAAACATAGCAGTATTTATATCACAAGAAACATAGCAAAGGATCACATGATAAATCAACAGAATCAGAGTGTTGAGAGTCTCTTGCTTAGGTAGGCAATCATATGCGAGATCGTTGAGGATCAATCTGTTAGATCTTTATAGAAGAAGATCTATATGTAGAGAGGGGTTATATGAGTGGGTCCTTCGTCATGTGACCCCACAACATCCACATGTTGACAGCCTCTATTAGATAAGGCCCTATATATCTAGCAGTAGCGTTACGAGAATGCCGGTTTTCCTATAACAGGCCCATTAATTCAGAGCAAAGCCGTCGAATATTAGAAGAAAATACCCTAGTATAAAGATCTCGACCCGCCACTTTTCTCTGAAGGGTGGCTATCACGGTTCAAACAGCGCTATTCGATCCGATATCATACCTCCTATAGCGAATCTATATCGGTTCCGGCTTCGATGTATTCCGATATGGAAGCTATTCGGGCTATCTGCGACTAATATCAGCTAAACGATGTCTATAATATAGATAAAACAGGTCTATTCTAGCGTCGAATGCTAAATAGGGGTCTATCGAGTAAGGGTAGTCCTGGTTATAAAAAAGACAAGACCAGGATTACTCTCGTAGTAACGACCAATACTACTAGTTTAGATCGAATGCCTCTATAGTTAATAGGCACTGCGAAGATGCCTCGTGCTCTACGAAAACTCAATATCCTAGCACTTAGATATATCTGGCGATAGAACAAGAACGCATAGATACGCGGTAATATTATGCAAGAATGGTTCCGCTCGTTTTATAGGCATATTAGCACACAAAGACGAGTCGTGCTATTACTCGATAACTTTAGCGCGTATCTCTCTGCGCTTAAACATACGCCACCGCCGTCTAATATTAAAGTCGTTTTTTTGCCACCAAACGCGACCTCGGTTTACCAGCCATTAGACCAGGGTATCATCAGAAACCTTAAGCACCATTATCGGAAGAAATGGTTAACATAGATGGTTAATATAATAGACCGTGGCGTCGATCCTACGTAGAGAATAAGCCTCTATTACACACTACATTAGATCACCTAGGCTTAGAGACGTGACGTTCTAGATAAGACTATTCAGAAGTGCTTTATCAAGAGCACGCTTATTAGTCCTAGCACTAATAAGATGAATACGTCTCCGTCTGAGGACCTTCAACTAGGTAATTTATACGCAGAGGTGACCGACCGGCTTCCTGGTACAGAGGTTATAGCATTAGATAAATTTCTAGACCCTCCAGGAGAAAACATCGACGTGGAAGAGCCTGATTTATCTAATATTATCGTTCATTTTTCAGAAGAAAATACAGGTAGGGATAATAGGGTTCAGGATAGCGAGGACGACCAGGACGAATATATATTCGGACCACCGCTGGATATCCTCTCGCGTGTTGAAGCTATTAAATATATGCATAAAGCTCTTCAATTTGCCCAGCACCAAGAGGGAATTACTAAGAGAGATCTACGTGATATAGAGAGGATCGCTCATCTTTTTTCTCGATTCGAGATCAATGGGAGGACGCAGAGAAGGGTGGATGACTACTTTAGACCAAAAACAGACTAGTTCTTACTAGATGAGGTTTAGCGCGATATTAGTGGCACACTTTCATTAGGCACATCGGAATTCTGTTGCACGGAGGCCCGTGCCGAAAACGGGAGTTTACTGTAGTGTGATTCGTATTTCTGATATATATACTAATTAGGTAGTAGTCTAAATTAAAATGATACGAGGAATTCTCTTTACCGCATACTCTTATAAAACGATTATAAAAGAGATATAAAACCCTCTTAAATTTAATTGATATCTCTACTCATCATACCTTCCTTATATCCTCGAGGATATATCGAGATTATCGATATAATAGGTTTATCTCCACCTCCATCCCCCCTAGCTTCTCAATCTTCTTCTATTACTCAATCTTCAATAGCACAGTATACACAATCCTCCCGGTTCTAAGATACGCAGATTGCTTACTTCCAGAGTAGGCAGACGAGTAGCCAGAGGATACAGCGCACATTAAGCATCCTCAGCGAGGTCCATAGAAAGCCACAGCTAAATCAATACGATAATAAGAGCTCTCGCGCACTTACTAGTATTTCCGGGGCAACTAGCGAAGTCCGCACGCAGCGAATTCAGGGTATTTTACCTAGTCAACAGCGAATTAGGTCTTGGCCAAAGGCAAAGGTATCTTCGCATACTAGTACTTCGCAGAATCGCCTAATTAGTGAAGCTCAAATCTTCGTGGAGATTACATTCTATATTTAGCACTACTCGGAGGTAAAAAACCTTAAGGAATTACACTCGGCTTCGCATATATTCATACCACGTACGATCCCGAGTCTCGAGGATTTTATTGAGAAGGACCTTCTTCCTGCCCTTAACCTCAGTATCTGCTCATTTCGGAGGCAGGAAAGCGATCAGTTTAGGCTTATGACCTTAATCAAGAAACAGCGCCCGATTCTCTTCTTATATGATGATACTAGCCGCCAGGATAGTAAAGATATCATAAAGCGTTTCGCAGTAAAGGGGATTAAGCACCAAGTCAACGTTATCATCGTACGATCTGAACAAACTGTGAAGCCTAAACAAGCTATAAAGCAAGATCAAAAGCCAAAGACCCGTAAGCCTCGGCGGCCAAAGATTCATCGAGTACATATTAAAGAAGAAGCACAAGGCCCTTCCTATCAGGGTTCTCAGCGAGTTAAAGAAGAAGGTATTAACGATTTTGACCTTCCTTCTCCGTCAGAGCTCTTTCGATTTCGGTCACAATCATACGATATCAGCCAGGAAGCTAGCCAGGAACCTGGCTAGGAAGTTGGCTAGGAAGTTGACCAGGAAGTTGACCAGGAAGTTGACTAGGAAGTTGACCAGGAAGTTAACCAGGAAGTTGGCCGAGACGGCTATAAGGATAACCATGAGGCTATACCCATTAATCGCCGCCGCCGGCGAGTTGCTTCGACTACTAGTTCAATAGTATCACCGCCGAGGACTCGAATGCGGTATCAATTGAAATCGCAGGATCATGAGCGTATGTAGACATCGGGACCAACCCCTCCATCTTGGTCACGGTCGCAGGATTGAGTGGTAGGATTCGGAGGATTCAACATCAAATTCAACATCAAATTCAACGGCAAATTGTATCTATTTCGGTTCTAGTAATTTCATTGGTCAGTTAATTTGAATCAATTTCAATCGTTCTTAAGAGGGGGAAATCGCTTTCTAGAGTGTATGTAGGAAGGGGAAAGGCTGTATGGTAGATTGTGTGTGGTAAAGCATAGCCGAAATCGAGATTCTGCCGGTTTAAAATTTCTGACTAAGACGATTTAGGAGTTATGGCAGGGTAACCCCTATAGTCCGCCGTAGGGGTCTAGGCCGCGGACCGACCTAGTCTCCCAGCCGCAGGTGCGATCACATGGCGACCTCTTTTTTACTCCCCGAGACCATTGTGGATGAAGCTACTTTCCTGTCCAGTCACATAAGCCGGGGTAATATTAGGCGGCACCCCGTCGATTCAGCAAACGATATGGTCTGATCCATTGAGGAATATGGTGAGAGCAAGCTCCAACTGCGGACGTAGGTTCGCGCATTTGGCGTCACACCCCGCGTAAACCCCGTGAGATTGGCCTCTAAGGAGAATCGGTCATTTTCCCTTCCAACAGTTCCAGACCGCCAAAACCTTCCGCCCAATGAATCCCTCGGTCACAGAAGACTTGCGGTGATGGCAAACTATAATAGGCCACCTGGAAATTGAATCCGTCAGGACTGACACGGCGTATTCTCCCTGCGATCGCGCCTACCATGTGGTTGCCTCCGTAGCTTCGTCTCGGCCTTTAGCAGCCTCAGTCATGCTCTGAACGGTTCTGTTAAAATCTCGTTCCGCCCACCCGAACCACCCGAGGATTGTCCCATTGAACCTATGGTGTTTCCTAGTCGGCCGGATGAACGGTCCATGGTTGATTAGTCGCGCATATCATCATCGCTCAAAATTTCTGATAGTATGATGCAAATAGTAGCTTTTAGCGAATGAATTATCGACCTATTTCCCCAGAGCTTTTGACCGGCCGAGTGTTATCAGCGTACTTAATAGGATTCCCCCTATGCATCGTATACGTGGTCGATCAACGAGAACCCGTGTTTCGAAGATTGTTCGGAGGCGAATCTGGTCCAGCTCCTATCCTTCTAGTACCCATGTACCAGATGCAGGGGAGGCTGAGGATTGAATAAAGAGACATTCCCACCGTAGATGATACTTGCCCATGCCCCAGACCCAGAACTGAAGGACTTTGCGGCCATCTGCATGAAAACTAGTATTATGCAGCACCTTCCGCGTACACCGCCTCATGGTCATCTTGGACTCGCCGGCGCAACACCTTTTGGCGTGTCCCCTTTCCGGTGGTAGTACCGCTCGACCAAACATTCTCCATGGGCTTCAATCTTAGTCTATACGGGCGTTTATTGTTCCGACACAAGTTTACTGTGCTGTATCAAGAAAATTTGACAAAGTAAATCAGCGATTAACGATGTTCTCAGCGCCAATAAAGTCGCGCGGGTTTTGGATTGGGCTAGGTTGGGTTTTGGGTACCAACAAAATGCACGTTCAAGCAATCGAGATTGAAGAAATTCATTTTCAACTCTGATGGCACGAACCATCAAAATTGCGTCTTCTTCCTCATCATGGCGGTCAATGCATCAGATTTACAGTCCTCTGCTCTCCATTGAGCCATCGTCTGGCGCATTCTTGGACTCGGACATTCAACATTCTGTATGAGAACAAATCCCTCCTTCGTGTCCCTGACTATCGCGAGACTCCCCCCGGGTATGCTAAGACAGCCTGCAGCCTTTCACTGGATCCCGCGAGAGCTACGACATAACCGCTAGAAGACCTCCGGCGACGCTAAGACGTGTGGGACCTCAACGCAGAAAGAACTGGATTTTGTACGAGTCGGACCTGAAGAGTGGATTTCTAGGATGGTGAGAGAAAACCCACAGAGGTGTCAAAAACACAAGAGAATGAATATAGAAATTTGCGGCCAATCTGGTAGCAAGTCGCATCATCTTTGACTAACAAAATTTGCAGACCGCGCATCTCTAGCCTGGGTCAATGCTTGTGCTCCTCTTCCGACCGTATTGCTGAGCTACACATATTTGATCGACTTTCTAGCCTAACAGTTGCGACAATTTGTAGACTGAGGAGTGCGGCTAGAGTGAGTGTCCTGTATTGGATGTTGGAACAGCCTCATGTTGGATTTCCCGGGGCAGAGTAGGATTCACAGTTACTCCCACCCCTAGACAGAGATTACCTGACAGAGAGGACTGAAATACCAGGACTGAACGGGCAGATCAGAGCAACGGAATAAAATGAGGATATTGATATCGGACACAAAATGAGTATATCGATCATTCAAGAGGAAACGAGAGACAGGAAATTAACGGGGTCGATACCTTGGGAATGCTCCAACAACGGTAGTTACCGGTTTCGTTCATGATCGATCTGTAGGGGGATCCCACCTGCCCAAGTAGCAATGATAGGTTTGCCTTTGTGCACTGCTTCTGAAACTGTCACCTCGAAACCCTCTCGTGATGATAGTTGCAACACAATACGTGACTTAGATAAAAGAGCATTCAATATCTAGTCAGAGGGACCTAATCGCAGAACACATATCATGGCCGTGAGATGCGGCATAAAGTTTTCCATATGCCGAAGAACAGCATCATATACTATAGAGCCGTTGGGGTCGTCTATAGACCCGTGACCACATATCACAAGCTTCGGAATCTTCATCTCGGGATGCAAAGTAGAGATCTGGCTATAGAATTTCTCATAGGCCACGAGGGCATCCACTATCCCTTTGGCGGGATCAATCTGCACGATGTATTGCTCCGTAAAACTATCAGCAGAGTTTTGCCTACATCTCTAGCATCGATAACTTACCAGCAGGGTAATCAATGACAAGCATTTCCGCATCTCTGCATGATTGATTGAACAGACACCCATAGAATGCGGCGTCCCAATCTCGCATCTGTTTGTTGAGACCATCAAGCCTTATTCTTACATTAGTAAGTTATCTAAACAGGGGATATAGAGCCTTGATTACCAATCAGTACATGCAGGCATATAACCAACCCGGTGTGATGGGATATTTTTAGGCACAAAGTCGGCCACAGGATGACTTATGAAGATATCAGCAGCATGAATTTGTTCCCAGAGATAGTTCCAAACTTCTGCCTGCGGCCCTCCCGTAATTGCGATAAGATCGCTTCGCATTTGAATATGGCTTCGATAGATGACCGGGCGCTGTGGATCAATACCCTTTGCAATTGGAAATAGACCAGGCATCTGAGGATCATCAATGATGATGACATCAGCACCGCCATCTAAAGGCCGACATAGGGGGCCCTCGCGTTGTAGCCAATATCTTTCAGCGTTGTCTTGGATCCAGTTGACCAAGTGCTGCTGATTGTCGCGACTCAATCGTTCATCCGGGGCAGTGACTCCTTGTAAGATATTGTGATTGGTCCTCCTTCGTGATGCGGAAAACGTCTGGTCGTGGCTTCGGAACATACCTAAGTCCATTAATAAGTTTCTTGCGCCCGAACATTTCATGCTCAACCCTACCACTTGATATCGATTTCCAGTTCGTGTGCCAGACGGAGAAGTGCATGACGCATGAGCGAAACACCACCCCCTTGGGATGTTGCACTGAAAAAAGCTATTTTTACACCACGACGCTTCAGGTCTGAGGTGTAATGGTCGATCGCTGCCCAAGTCTTGGGACGAACGGTCCGCCGAAATGAATTTCTATCTGCTAGTTGGATATGGAAATCAGAATCCACTTCGACTCTACCGCGGAAGCCCACATGTAGCAATGGCAAATTGTTTGGTCCAAAAAACCTGTAGCTCTTTAGTCAACTTGATACAATGTTGGAAATTGCGAAGAGACCAACGAGGCCTAATGTCAGATACGTACCTGATGCACTTTCTAGAAAGCGACTCCGCTTGCTCATCAATAGGTTTTCTTTCAAAGTGAATTCGAGTCATGCTCTTAGCGGTAGCGTTAATATCTGGTTCTTCATCAAGAATGATAGGGATGATGTCCAACTCTGCCCAGAGTTGTCGGCACAATGCAGGCATCCGTTGATGTAGGGACCGTGAAAGTGCGGCCCCGAGAATCTTTTCCGAGTGGACATCGCTATACTTTTTCAATCCAGCTATGATTTGTTGACAAGTATGAGACGCCGGTGAATCAAAAGTGTTTTCAATAAAATCGAGCAGATATGTCTCATCACGAAGAGCGATTGCAACTCGCGCCTCAGACTCCGTCGGGATGTAAACCGAAATCCCCGCATATGTATTCTGGTGCCTATACTTCAATAGAACAAAAGAAGAATATGCGCTGAATCTATACAAGTAGCATCCTTACTCTGAAAACAGGCCCGGACCAACGATTCCCGTTCACATGAGGTAATAAACGATTTTTCTGAGCTTGCGAGACATGACAACGAAATGAATAGGGGTCATGGAACATTGTGACTGCAAAGAAGTTTCGCTGCGATCGTATGAAGTATCCGCACACTTAAGTCAAAACTGCAACGAAAATGAATTTGTAATTCTCGAGGTCGCTTGATGTCAGAATTGTCCCATCATTCTGCAATTTATCATCCTTGATACCAGAGAGTTGACGTCAACGATTCTTGCGGAGGCATAGTGACCAGGATCTGACCTATCCTCGTCCGTCCCTCTGGACAACTAGCGTGGTTTCAATTAGTGTATTATTTTAACCATTACGGAGTTACCCGTGGCACTGACCACGCCGCCACCCTACCCCCTCCCGGGGTTAGGGTGGTCCACCTTCCAATGAACAAAACTTCCCACGATAAAATCCTCCCCATTATCCATGGTTATACCCATATTGCCAACCACCATTGTGACTATCTCGTATGCAGAGGAAGGAAATCGTATAAACAGTGCACTGGAAGCCCTATGTGCTAACACCTATCTTTCCTGTGATGAGATCATTACAGCATTGTCGGTGTTGGTTGATCTAGCGAAAATTCACGGTCCTCACCGCCTAGGGAGGCGGCAGACGACAGTCTTGACCAAGGAGATGGGTTGAGATAGGAGAGGGTAATCACCACTACACCGAGAGATCGTATTGAGAAACCGCAGAAGAAAGAAAAGTCATCAGGGACAGAGAATCAAACAGAGTGTGTATTCATCGTAAAGGGTTTGTGTGTGTCCACGGTCGTTGTAAACCCGACCGTCAACAAGAAGCGTTAAGGGGCGCTCCGAGGCCTAAATACCGCAAGAACAAAAGTCCATACTAGTACAGAAGCAGAGGCTGATTGATAAAGGAGTGCTCAATCCACACATCGCGGCGAGTCTTTACTCCAAAAACTTACTCCAGACACTTTCCCCAGACACTTTCTCCATACCATCGCCCGTTCCCACACGGCACCTAGTGCCTTTGCTCATCATGGTAGTGAGAAAGGGCGGGTTCTGACTAGTAGGGAAAACTGTGGCAATTTAGAGACCAGTAGTGGCATTCAGAACTGAGCCCTTGACGGCTTGGAGTTTATTCTTCCATTTGTGTTCTTTGGTTCCATTTTGACCACACACAAATCTGGAAATTCTAGGTCGTCGTTGTTGACCAGGCTCAACAGTCATAAGCTCCAACGATGCCGGCCTGCGCAGTGGAACGCGAACCAAAATATCTTCTCAAAATATTGGAGGTCTGGAACCCTTTGTTGGTTACACCAGGTATGTGGTGGTGTTGGTGATGAGTTGAACGTGATATAGGTCCACAGTTCAGGCGGACTCAAAAGGCCAACACAAGTACCTACCCTCCATAAGTTGATTCGGTCAGCCAAGGTTTCCAGCTCCACTGTCAATCTCAACAAGTGCGTACATTCGCGCTGATAGGTCGACAGATCCATCCCGTGATTTTAGTGATCAAATTGCGGTGCACGGACGTGTAATCGTTGAGTCAACGTGGAATCGTGAACAGAAATCACGGTATAACGCCTGAAGCCCCGAGGATTCTATTGTTGTTTGAATAGATCTTGTTGCACTTTGAAGTCTCAGATAAAAAGCCTACGAAAAATCTTTTTCGTCATTCAACACTCCTTGAAGTGATTTAAATGGTGCCGTCGCCGAAGACTCAACATCACTATCTCAGCATGGTCTTAGTCTCCCTCGGTGACTATCGTGACCAACTAAAATTTGCATTTCAGCTGTTGCTCAGCCTGGTAGAATTTGAACAGAAATATGACTTCCAACGGGCCTCAGGTTTGGGCAGCCGCACTCACAATTAGATTTCAATATTCGCCAGTGCCATGACAGTCAAATCGGTGCCAACCGAAGCATGTGAGCGACATGACAGGTCGAGAAGTCTATAAATAATCTCTACTACCCCAAGACCTTTTGCTCATCTAGCTTATCGCAAGGATTTGCCAGGCCTGAGTAGGCATTATTCTGGTTCATGAGGCCAGGAATTCTCAGCCTCCGCTGAACAAGACTGAACTAGACAGGGCCAGACGCTATCTGAAGACCCCTATTAAAATTATCAAAATTTTCTTCCTCTTTCATCAATCCCCAATTTCCTTTGTGCGGACGGCAGACAGAGCACCTCGTTGACCGATATGTAACAGTTGAAACCCGTGAAACCACCGTAGGAAGAAACCCTCCTCCTCTTGATTGCTCATTCCATTCCAGTCTTGCGTTGTCATGCTTAGCAAGCTCAAACCAAATGACAAGACGTTCAGGCTCATTGAAGAAAACGCCATTCCATAGGGATCTTATCGCTGCCCAGCCGATACGAGCCCCTCGCCGTGGAAACCTGCCCTCCATTTTAACGATGCAAAAAGGGGACCGGCCATGTCGCAGGTATGTGTCTCGTTCCCATCGGCTTTCCTGATGCCGACCTTGATAACTCTTTACTATTGCCTAGAACCCCGTGCAATGCCAGAGGAGATAAGTATGATGTGCAGACCATGCTGATCCGTGTCCTCTCGGTCTTTAGGTTGGTGGTAACTAGACATTGACATCTCCCACGGGACTCCCACCGTGGGACCTGGGACTTCCCGCCGTGGACGGGAGTTGGGACTAAGCTTTAGTCCCATGGGCGGGACTAGAAGGGCCGTGGGACTCCCATGGGAGTATGGGACTTCCCACGGGACTGTAAACAGTGCAAACAGTTAAAATCCTGCCACTTGCATAAATTGTGCGCTTTTCCTAGTATTTTTAAGTATTGCACTTACTATATTACTCTAGATAGCTCTATAGATCCTCGATAGAGATTCAATAAAAGATAGGAAATGTAAGTTTATTCGTATATTACGTCGTAGTTATCTAAATTTCTTGGACGTTTCCTTGTCCTTCCAGACGTCCGCATTTAACTATAGCCCTCCTTATCCTATGGCAAAGGGGGTAGTTGAGGTTCAGTCTTATCTTCTTCCCTATAGGAATCCACACTCTTTCGTCTCCTTCCCAGAGCTCGCTAGCTACGTTAGGATATAGCGGATAGTATATAGGCGTCGAAAGGAACGGAGTTTACCTTATATATCTTATCTTCACTCTCATCTTTACCTTCAGCTTCATCTTTATCTTCGTCTTCATCTTCGTCTTCATCCTCATCCTCTTTATTATCACTAATTAGAACCGGGGTAAACTAGCCTAGTTTTGCCTCTCTTCGTAGCGCTACTTACTATCTCTCTTCGGCGGTAGGCTCTTCCTCCTTATCGGATTCACCTATAAGATCTATTATATCAAGATCAAATTCGGAGATATAGCGATATATCATAAGGTCTTATATAGCGGTCTCGCTAAGACGACCCCGTCGATAGTGGCACACGTCGCGAGCAGAGTTAAAAAGACGCTCCACACTAGCCCCGCTAGTAGGGATAGTAAATATATCGCGTGCCATACTTACGAGTATAGGATATTAATGCTTATGCTCCCGCCAGAAATCACAGGGATTCTTGTTTAATATACCTATTAAAGAAACGTTAGAATAAAAAATCAGCGGATATTCGAATGGAAGAAATATACTACTATTAAGATAATATATAAGCTTATTGTTAAATACAGGGCTAGTCCGTTTCTCTTAGGACTAAGAGGGCTCGGAAGTGTTACGATTCGTAGATGCGGAAAGTCTTGCGAACGAACTGGCGAGAAGTGTTTGCATGGGAGTTGCCGAAAAGGGAGGGCCCTATAAAGGCAATCCCTTTGGGTGGATTAGAATCTTCCTTCTCTTCTTCTTTCTCTAGATTTAGTTGCCTCGTTTAAACAGTACCGAATTGATTCATAATCTTTTCGCTTGACCGTAACATACAACTAAATCTCACCCTTTATCTTTCCTTCTAGTCACTGGCTGAGCGAAGAGACGCGTACATACGTGCTCTCTAGCTACCTAGTGACTACACCACTCAACCGAACGAACCTACGAAGAACCGTTGCACCAAGATGGCTAGCAACGTGACCGAACGCCCCCGCCGTGGTGGCAGAAGATCCCTGACCCTCGATGAGCAGCCCGACGCTGAGAAGATCGAGGTGACCGATACCGACGAGCTGATCCGTTGGATCCAGAAAGACCCCGAGACCGCATGGAAGGTCTTGTGCAACCGCATGAAGGATATCGAAGACCTGAAAGGCCAGATTGCTGCCCTGACCGCCGACCACCAAGAAGAGATCGTCGACCTCCGTGAGCAGATTGTCTCAATGACCGAACGAGAGGATTCCGTTGCCCGTGACCAGCAGGTGGAGGAGGAGTACGCCCGAATGCGAACTGAAACTGAAACCCTCCGGAAGGAGCGTGATAGCCTGTTGACCGTGATGAATATGATGCGAACCGACGATAACCGTGTGTTGCGAGAAGCCTCGGTGACCCCTTCTACTGCTGGTAACAGGAAGTCGACCAAGATGCCTGATCCTCCCATGTTCAACGACGGAAAGGATGTGAAGTTCAAGGATTGGAAGACCGAGATGAAGCGTAAGCTTCTATTGAACGAGGACCACTATCCAACTTCTGCCCACCAGCTCGCGTACGTGAGTAGTCGCTGCGAAGGAAAGGCACTCCGACACATCAACCCCCGAATGCAAGAAGACGCTACCGCCGCGTACCGAACTGCGCAGGA